GGCGCCATTGAGCCATGCATGGGCGTGCGCCGGCGCTCGTTGCCAGCCCGGGCGAGACCGTGGGCCCCGCCTGCGGCGCGAACCTGGAGCAACGCTGCAATGCTGAACGCGCCGAGCGGGGCGCGAAACGCGCGGGCAAGCGGGATCAGCTCGCCGTGGATGAGCCACTTGGGCATGAGCCAGGAAGGGGCCGCATATAATAGGACCGTCGCGGCGCGTGCGTCGGGGCGAGAGGCCAAGCGCGAGGCGGGAAGATCGCCGCGCCCCACGAGCTTGCATCGATCGAGACCGCGCTTGCAGAGCAGGGGCCAAACGGCGCAGGTCTTCGGCGGCGGCGGGGCCAAAGGCCAATCCCAAATACGCCAATGCGGCTGCAGTCTGAACGTCGGCGAACAGCGGCGCGACGGCGCGGGGGGCCGCGCGAACACCAGCTGCAATGAATGAAAATTCGATACGCAGAAGTGCTAGCTTGCACTTGTCCAGGCGGAGGGCAAGAGGCGCCGTCGCCCCTGCAGTCGCCGTGGCGCCCGCGGGCGTGGCCGGGGAGGCGAGCCCGTTGGCCGCGGGCGCGAATTCGTCACCGCGAGCCCCTGCAATCCCGGTTCGCGGCGGTCCAAAAACAACTTGCGCGTCAGCGGGAAAGGGCGAGGTGGGAACGTCGATGCGCTGAGCGAGCAGCCTTGCGAGCATGCCGAAGGAAAACCACCGAGCGTGCGTCGGCGCGTGCTGAGCCAGGGCGAGCGCGTCAAACTCCGAGCGAAGCTGGTCGATCGCCGAGGCGAGAGCTCCGGGGGCGCCCGTGGCCGCGAAGACGAAGTGCATCACATTCTGCGAGAGACTCAAAGAGGCGGCGCCGCAATCCAGGGCGACTGAAGCGGGACAGTCAGCCAGGGCGCGCGGGGCGTCGGAGCGGGCCCTGCCCGCCACGCCAACGTCGGAAATTGCGCGCCACAACTTCTGTCGGGGATGCGGTCGCATTGAGAATGAAGGGCCCAATCCATCAGTGACGAGCTGAAACGAATATTAACTGTGGCGGAGGTGACCTTGACGTCCGCGCCCCTGAAGCCCAGGGCCCTCGCTGCCCACGGGGAGCGCGCGCGCGGACGTGCGAGGCCGAGTCGGCAGGCCCCGCGCCCGTGGGCAGCCGTGCTTGGGGAGCGCCAGCCGGCGATTTGAGTGGGGCCTGCCCCGAGAATCCACGCCATGGCGCACGATGCGTCGTTGAGCCGATCGAATGACCGAGGAGCTCCACGCTGAGCGGGGCACGCCGTCCACGCGTGTTCCCGAACGACGAAACCGACGAGCAGCGCGCTTCAGCGACCAGGGGGAGAGCGCGTCGCGCATGCCGAAGTCGCGCTTCGGGGCGCGCTCCGCAACGCAGCTTGGAGCGCGGGCTCGATCAATCGGCTTCGCCTTGAACAGGGGCCCCCAGTGTTCGAGAACCCGAGAGTGCACGTGCAGCGGTACGTCGCAATGTCGTCAGCGTCGTCGGCGGCCGCGATGCCATTCATCTCGCGGAGCGCCGAGCGCGGAGACCCAAGCTGGGCGCGTCGCTCCAGGGCGCCCAACTGGTGACTTAGTTGTTGGCGAATATGGCGGCTGGCGGTCCGCGCCGCCCATTGCTGTCGCGCCGGAAGACATGCCATCGCTGTGCCAGTTCACTCCGTCGCTGAAAACAAAGCCGCGTGGGCCAGACAAACTCAGCCCGGGGAGATCGAGGGTCGGCGGGGGGGGGGGGGGGGGGCGACGGGCGCAGAGGCGGAGCGCTGGGGAAACGCTGGCGCGCCAAACAGCCCGAGCGATCTGACTGGCCACCAGAAATTGAACCAATGAAATCAGGCTGGCCGCGTAGGGCGCGGTCTCGGACTTCGCGCGCCACCTCGCGAACGACCACCATAGAAATGTCAGCGCGGCGAGGAGGCGATCTGCCATCAACATTTAACCGGGAGACAGCCGTGTCGAGCAGGGGCTGGTAGGCCTCCGATTTGAAGATGCGACGCGGGATCTTCTGGTATCCGGGCGGCTTCTCATGCCTCTGTGCGAGAGAACATGCATGCGCGGCGCGGTCGCTGACCCTCTACTCTGACACGGTTCCAGGTAGCCCAGCGCCGCGAGGCGTTGCCGCGATCTGGCTCATGGCCCACCCAAGCGGACTGATGCGGAACCTGTCGACGATGGGGATCGAGTGGGCGAAAGCATCGAAGTGCGCGGGCATGTCGGACGAGACGTCTGTGGACGGGGGTCAGAGGGCAGAGCGGCCTGGCAGCGCGAGCACGCGGCCCCTTGCCCGCCGCGATCAGTCTCCCAGGACTGCGCGGCAGCAGCGGCGGCAAGCGCCGCCTCGGAGTCCGCCAGGATGGGACGCTTCACGCGTTGGAGTTGATGAGGGGCGAGGGCGAGATTTCGCCTGTTGTAGCGAACTGGCTGGCGACCACGATAATCGAGCAGGAGACGGCGAATGCGACCGGGGGCCAGCTCGCAGGGAAGAGCAGCCGCGCGGCAGGTGAGCGGGGGGGGTGGTCGCCAGACCCTCTTTCGCAGACGAATCCTGGCAGTGGCTGGGATGCGCGCGCAAGCCGGGGGGGGCTGCCACGGGCAAGTCCTGCAGATTGGTCGGGTCTTCACGCAACTCCTGCAAGCCGGCCGCCCCGCTCAAATATTTCAGCTTGCCCATGGCGCGCCTGCCCTGAAACTGGGCGGGCGCCCTCGCGCTCCAAGAGTGGGGAGATGCCGCCGAAGAGCCAGCGCGCTCCCATCGCAGAAAGCGACATAGCTGGCTAAAGGCCCCACTCCGCCGCGCCGGGGCAAGGGGGGGGGCGCGGCGACCGCTTCCGCTGCGGCAACGAGCTCCTGCTTCGGAAGTTGGAGCTCGGCGGTGAGTCTGTCGGCCCAATGCAAAGAGGATGGGGCGTTTCCTTAGTCGGGGCTGACCCTGAAGATGGCCCCCCAGCCCGCCATGACGCAGCCGCGGTCCTTGTCCAAGAGCCAGCGCTTGGGGCGGTCGACCTGTCCAAAAGAGTCGTGGATCTTGCGGCCCTGCATCTCCCTGCGGATCTGGCGGGGGTTCTTGCCGGGGCCCGGGCGAGGCGACGCGGCGAGCCCGTCCGCCGCCGCCGCCGCCTCGAGCTAACCTCGGCCGAGGCACCTGGCTGCCATGGCCCCCGAAGCTCTCCGAGCTGTGGGGGCCATGGCACGCGCGAGCAGCGCGGTGAAGCTGCGATGGGCATCCTCCGCGGCCGCGATGAGAAACTGATCTGCAGCGACGCCGATGCTGCCCGCCCCATCGGATGCGACCTGTCTGACATTGGCAAGAGGGGTGAGCTTCTGGGCCATGGTGCGGGTGATGGTCGGGCCTGCGCCAGGCTCGGAGCCAACGGCACTGCCCAGGGGTTCTTTCGGGGATGTCACGCAACTCCATGATCTCCGAGCTGAGGAAGGCGATGGGAGAGTGGTGGTCATCAAGACGAGATTCCACGGCGCGCGTCATAACCGTGATGCCATCGATCTGTCCCTGCAAACGCCGACTCTGGCCATCAACCCGTTCAGGTGCAGCACCGTCCACAGTCTTACGGAGATCTCGAACACCTCCTGCGAATTTCACCGCGCTCTCGCTGTCGGGCTCGAGCCGCTCCGCGACGGGGCTGACCGCCTCGTCTACCGCTGGCATGATGGTCTCGAGCACGGCCTGCTTGTAGTCCTTGAAAACCCTGGCGGTCCATTCTTTCGCCGGGAGGCGGAAGTACTGGGTCTGGCCGTCGTCGTTATCATCATCCACAGACCCATGCCATCATAATCGGCACCAAGATCACCGCGAATATAAACAGGAACGGGAGCAGCTGAAAAAGGGACTAGCATCAGGAGGGGCGGCGTGTGCACCATGAACAGAAGAGCCAAAACAATCGCCAACATCGAGACGAACTGCATCCCGAGCTTCACCACGAGCCTTTTCCTTGCGCCTCGCGCCAGACTTGTAGCCGGGCCCAGATCTCTTGACCTCAGGCATTGCGTTGGGCGATGCAGTAACAGGAAAAGATTCCGTTGATTTACACCACTCAGCGAGAAGCACCCCGCGGGCTCGCAACGGAAGGTCATCTCGCCACCAGGATCATTGCTGTCAGTGCACTGGAAGGCTTGCCGCTAGCTAGCGGTATCCGCTTGTTCTCCTGTGGAATGCATGGTCTAGAACCAAAGTGGCTATGGAGCAGGAGGAGGAAGAGGAGGGGGATGGGGGAGGAGGAGAATGAGGAGGAGGAAGAGGAGAAGCAGGATGGGAAAAAGGAGGAGGATGAGGAGCAGGAGGAGGAGGAGGAGGAGGATCAGGAGGAGAAGAAAGAGGAGAAGGAGGCGGAGGAGGAGGAGGAGGAGGAGGAGGAGAAGAAAGAGGAGGAGCAGGAGAAAGGGGAGGAGAAAGAGGAGAAGGAGGAGAGGAGGGAGGAGAAGAGGAGGAGGAGGAGGATGGGAGAAGGAGGAGGAGGAGGACGAGGCGGAGGCGGAGGAGGAGGAGGAGGAGGAGGAGGAGTGTAGGAGTGACGATCGAACAACACGCACCCATACCCATAGGGGGACGGAAGAGGCTATGGGTGCGTGTTGTCGGATGGGGGTCCCCGCTCGAACGGGAGCTTCACCCAGGGTCCGACAACTCGCACCCATACCCATAGCCAGTTCCCCTCCTTTCGACCCTCCTATGGGTATGGGTGTGAGTTGTTCGCTCGTCAAAGAGGAGGATGATGATGATGATGAGGATGAGGAGGAGGAGGAGGAGGAGGAGGCGGAAGAGGAGGAATAGGAGGACGAGGAGGAGGAGGAGGAGGAGGAGGAGGACCAGGGGGAGGAGAGGAGGAGGAGAAGGAGGAGGAGGAGGACGAGGAGGACGAGGAGGATGAGGAGGACGAGGAGGAGGAGGAGGACAAGGAAGAGGAGGAGGAGGAGGAGGAGAAGGAGGAAGAGGAGGACCCCCCCATACCCCCCCTCCCCCTTTGCGCAGCGCTCGGGAGCGAGACCTCCACCCCGGGCCGCTTGCCCATGCCGAGCAACGCCTTGGTGTGCGCGGCGCGGGCGGCGGACCGCTCGAGGGCGTGCCGGTGCAGCTGCGGGGGGGACCTGCACCCGACGGCAGCCAGGCCGAGGTTGACGGACGAGCACTACACTCTTTAAGTCAGCAGGCGCAGGCTAGCCGAAGCAAGTGCAAGCGCCGGTCGCGCTACGGGCGGGAAGCGCCGGAAGCGCACTGGAGCACCGCGGGGCGCGGGGAGAGCAGAAGGGGAGGAGAAGACAGAACCGCTCAGATCGCGCAGGCCGAGCCGCACACGCAAGGGCTCTGGGTGCGTGCTGTCCAATGGAGATCACTGCTCGCACGGGCGCACCCCCCTGGGGTCCGACGACACACACCCATACCCGTCGACACTCCTCCTCCCTCCGACCCCCTCCTACGGGCATGCGTGTGCACTGCTTGCTCGTCAGGGTCTCCGCCCTGCAGGCTGCGAGCTGCGCGCTGCGAGCTGCGCGAAGCAGAGGTGATCCCCGCGCCTGCGATCCGCCCGCCCACCTGCGAAGGAACCCCGGGCCGCGTGGCGCCCGAACCGAGATTGCCTTCTTGCCCCTGCGGGCGACCTGTGGCAGCAAACGGGCGCCAGAAAGGCAAGGGAGACTGCCCCCAGCCCCCGTCGGATTCTTCCGCACGCCCCTCCCCCCCCCACGAAGTCCCGACCCCTTCCCCATGGCTGCCTTTGCATCCTCCTCCTGGTCCTCCTCTTCTTCCTCCTCCTCCTCCTCCTCTTCCTCTTCCTCCTCCTCCTAGTCCTCCTCCTCCTCCTCCTCCTCCTCCTCCTCCTCCTCCTCCTCCTCCTCCTCCCCCTCCTTCTCATCCTCCTCTTGCTCCTCCTCCTCCTCCTCCTCCTCCTCCTCCACCACCTCCTCTTGAGCCTTTCTTGCTAGCTCTGGAGCCCGAGAGAACGGCCCCCCCAGAGGCGGGACAGGGAGACAAAAACGCCCGCCGTGGTTTGAGACGTCGGGCGCCTGGACCCAAGGTGTTAAATCCCCCCCGGACCTCTTCTGTGGTGCGTTCGGACCTGAATTTCGAGGGGCAATCCAGCCGTGGCGACTAGGAGCCTCCCAGAGGCCCTAAGAGGGGCAAGTGCCTACGCGGGCAGGGTGCCTCGCACTCATGTGCGTTTCTGCAGTCGGCCCCTCCTCCTCCTCCTCCTCATCCTCTTCCAGCTCCTCTTCCTCTTTTTCTTATTCCTCCTCCTCTACCTCCTCCTCCTCCTCCTCCTCCTCCTCCTCCTCCTCTTCCCACCCCTCCTCGCGCTCGGGGGCTCGAACCAGGAGAGGAGGATGAGGAGGGGAAGGAGGAGGAGGAGAAAGAAGGACGAGAAGGACGAGGATGAGGAGACGGAGGAGGCACACCAAAAATTGGCACAACCCTGCAAGCCTCGATCTTCAAGCCCCGAACACCGAGGGGGAGGAGGTGGAGGAGGAGGAGGACGACGACGAGGAGGAGTAGCACCGAGGGACAGCACGGCCTAGCGTTTGCTCTCATGCTGCTGTGCGCTGCTCTCCAATCCGCACCCCTCGCCCGTGACGCACCTGCATGGGCCCCCACACCCTCGGGGAGCCAGAGCCCCAGAAGGGCGACCCGAGACACGGCGCTTGCGACGAGGCCATCACAATCGGCACCAGCACCATTACCGGCCACGTCGGCCGACCGACTGCCCGACCGAGGAGGAGGAGGAGGAGGAGGAGGAGGAGGAGGAGGAGGAGGAGGAGGAGCCTGCTGCCGACGACAACCGCCGGCCGCGGACCTGGACGGCGAGTGCCTCTGCGGGGGCGGCTGCCGCTCCTTCCTTGCGCGGGGGCGGGCGACAGAGGGGGGGACACCGGCCCGGTGGGGAGGGCCACGCCGGCCGCGGAGCGGCGATGTGCCTCGCCGACGCCTCGGCGACGGGCCCCCGCCTGCGAGGCCGCACGCTGCCCCTGGCGGGGCGGACCGCCATGGCGCCCCGTCGGCGAGGAGCGGGCGACTGGGGATATCGATGCGTTCCCCCCCGGCGGCGACGATCGGGGCGAATGGCCCAGGGGCGGGCATTGCACGCATTCGCCCGGGAGCCTTTTCGAAGACCGAGATCCTCGGCGCACCTGGATACATGGATTGCTCTGCCCCGAGCTAGTCGCCCCCATCGTCGCCTCTGAGCACCCCTGGGCCTAGACGGTCGGGAACTCGTCCCGGCGGCGGTCCAGGAGACACGCTGTGCCCTGCGAGCTGATAGCGCGTCGCTGCGCTCCGCTTGGGCGGGAAGCTGGGAGGCGCTCCGGGAGGCGACACTTGGAAACGGGGGCGCGGTGAGCGCGCCGCGCAGAGGCCTGCTGGCCCAGAACCAGCGGCGCGTCATGCCAAACACACGTTCCTGATCGTATCCCCGGTCCGGCGGCTCAAAGATGGGGCACTAAGGGACGAGGCCTGGGCGACAAAGTGGATCATAGGTTGAACCTTCACTGTTTGAGGTCCTCGTCCGTAGGTAGACTCGCATAAAGACGGCATGAACAGTGAACATAAACTTTCGGAGGTCCGCGCAGATTTCTTGGATCTGCGCTCTGCCCTTGACCCCCCTCCCTGACGAGCTTCGCGCGCCAGGGCGTTGCTGGAGACGCCGCCAGGGGGGGCCAGCGCGCATTCAAGAAATCCGCGAGGAGCTGCGGAAATGCATGTTTGTGCAATTGCTTCGTATTCGACCTCACGGCTCCCACCCCTCGCGCAGGTGAACAACATACTCGTATCCGCAGCCTCGCGGGCCAGGCTCCTGGGCCGTGACCCCACGGATACGGCGCGTTTTCTATCGGATGCCCCTCGCGGAACGTGCCCGTGCGACCGCGTATCCGCGGGATCGTGCCCCAGAATCCAAGCCGCGAGGGCGTGGATACGGACCTGCTCGCCGCTCGTGACCACTTCCCCTTGCTGACGTTGCCCCCGTTTCGGCTCATAGCTCGGCTAACTATCTGGCGGCCGTTCGGGACGATCCCGGCACCCCCGGAACGCCCTCGACGAGGCGCAGCTGCCGGAACGCATCCCGAGAGGTTAGAAAGCCGCCGAAGACCCACAAGAACGCTGCAAAAACGGCACCCCCAGAACGCCCTCGACGAGGCGCAGCTGCCGGAACGCATCCCGAGAGGTTAGAAAGCCGCCGAGGACCCACAAGAACGCTGCAGAAACGGCACCCCCGGAAAGCCCTCGACGAGGGCGCAGCTGCCGGAACGCATCCTGGGAGGTTGGAAGGCCGCCGAGGACCCGCGAAGACGCTGCAAAAGCTCGAGCCTCGAAACTTCGTGCCCCTCGAGGCCCCACCGTTCAGGGCAGTTTTTAATACATAGGATGCTTTAACACATATATGATTTTGGAATACATGATTAATGTATGAATACATTAATGCATCAACTCATCCTTGTATTTACTAATCAACCCTTTATTTTCAATCCATGGTCCGCACGCGGAGCATGTATAAAAAAAACACGGTACTGTTGTGCCGTCGACCGGAGCCAAGTCTCGGCGGCGGGCCCCGGGGGTGAGGTGCGAAGGAGAAGGCCTCCTCGGAAGGCTCGGCAGTCGGCCCGGCCGTCTGGCACAGCAGCATATGCTGTCTCGCACTCTGGCCACCGAAAGCACGACAGCGTTCAGATGACGTGGCTGCTGGCTTGCCCGAGCGGTCGGCTGGGGGTCTCCGTGAGCACCGACTGCAGCTGTGTAGCTCCCAACTGCCCCACCCGGGGCAGCCACCCCCGAGGACGCAGAGGACTTAGTAGAAGGCGCGGGGGCTTCTGAGAAGTCCTGCCGCCTTCTGAGAAGGCCTTCTCCTTCTCACTTCCCCCCAGCTCACGGAGCGCGTTCCACTACTCGCCAAGTGCCTACTCAGACTCGCAAGCGTCAAGAAAAAACATGTCTGCTTCGATGTAAGCTATCGAAGACCCCCCGCGGCGGATCCAGGCCATTTGCGAGTAGTTACTTTGCGAGTACTGGAGCGCGCTCGTCGACCAACGCTCGCCGCCGAAAATCCCCCCCGCCGATGCTCCTCGCCTTGGCGTCTCCGGGGACGCCGGGGCGGCGCCCCCGGGCCGCCGCGCGGCGGCGGCCCCGTCGTCGCCGGGGCGCTCCGGCCTGGCGGCGGCAGTTTCCATGTTGTGCCGGGGGGGGCATTCAGGAGGGGACGTCGACGAGGACGACGCCGACGACGACGACGACGCCGACGACGACGACGACCACCACCACCACCACCACCGCCACCACCGACGACGACGACGACGAGGGTCACCACCACGACGATAGGGACCAACGGGGACGACGCTGGCGACGAAACTGGCGACGACGCCGACGCCGACGCCGTCGACGCCGACACCGACGCCGACGACGACGCTGGCGACGACGCCAGCGCCGACAACGACGCAGACGACGCTGGCGACGACGCTGGCGACGACGCTGGCGACGACGCTGGCGACGACGACGACGACGACGACGACGACGACGACGACGACGACGACGACGGCGACGACGACGTTGGCGGCGGTCCTGGGCGGCCCACCCCACCGCCTCTTCTGGAGCTCTCCAAGGTTTTCCTCCGAGGACTTCCAGGACGGCGCAGGAGGGCCAGCGACGCCACCAGGACGGCCCAACGCGGCCTCAAGGCGCGCCCGAGAGCCCCATTAAGAAGCGTCCAGCAACTTACAAAGAGGCCCTCGAAGCTCCGAGAAGCTTCAAGACACCTCCAAGACACTCTGCAGAAACCCGTTTTCGAGGTTTCAGCATGTTTGTTGTTTTCCGCGCTCTCATGTCTAAGATCGGTCCACTGGCGGCCTTCGAGGGCCCAAAAAGGGCCCAAAGAGAGCCCCACGATGGCCCCTAATCTGCGCAGGACGGCCCAAGATAGCCCCAAGCTTGTCCAAGAGGGCCTCCGAAGGGCCCAAAGACGGCCTGAAAAAGAAGAAGCGAAATACGAATAATAATATGAGTAAGTAGAAGAAGAGTAATCATAAGAAAATACTAAGGGTAAGAATAAGAAGACGAAGAAGGAGGAGAAGACGAAGAAGACGACCCCACGACGCCACCACGACGGCACCATGATGCCGCCAGACGGTCAAGTGGGCCCGATGATGGCCCATTAGGGTATTGAGAGGGCCCAATATGGCCCCAAGACGGCCATAGCAGGCCCAAAGGGACCTCCAAGATTGCCCCACGGGGGCCCGAGACAGCCCCTGGCCCGACCAGTCCCAACGAGAGCTATCCTTAGGCATGTCCTCCTACAGGGGGATGACACAAGGGTGCCCTTGAGCTGGGCAGGGTCGACGTACTAATCCGGGCCGACTGCACGGGGGGATCCGCCATTTGACCTGCGGGCCCAGACCTCCCATTGTCTCGATAAAAAACACCCACGCGGCGCAGGCGGGCGTTCATGTACTTCGGGGTCGTTGCACGTGGGGGCCACCCGGGGTGCGAGGAGGTGGCCCCAGAGGGGGGCCCACAGGGCCCCCCGAAACCCACTGCACACCTGCCTCCCGAAGTGTACTGGAGGGCCGCCCAATCCTCACACGATGCCGCGCTCTGCCCCGCGATGCCCTCTGGCCGGTCCCGTCGCAGAGCCTCCGCCGCCTCAGGACCCCAAAGAGGCCGCGTCCGGGCACCGGGATCGAGGCAGGAGGACCAGAGCGAAGGGGGAGGTGGCCTCCAGGGATCCCGTGCTGCGCATAATTTTTGGTCGGCGGGGCGAGAGCGAACCTCTTCCGCCAAAAGCTAGGCGGGCTACGCACAGCTCTAATTAGGGAGACAGGGCACAGGCGGGCGCCCCCCCCCTCCCGTGCTGCGCACAAGCACGCACTCGGAGGCCTGGGCAGAGAGGGGGCCCTGCGGGGAGCCGCAGCGGGCCGCCGAGCGGCTGCACGCAGGAGTGGCCCTAGGCCAGACTGGCCTCTGGTGCGCGGCATAGAGCGGGGAATCGCAGGGCGGCCAAGCCTGAGCGCGCGAGCCGCTGCCCCCCTTGAGCCCGCACCAGAAGTCACTCTTACGTCTAGTCGAGGCGTGGCCGACGCAAGGGGGACAGGCAAGGATGTCAGGCCACACGATGGTGAGGATGCGCTGCACGGGGCCGTCGCAGCACAGATGTCGACTCTGCACCCCGTCCAAGCCCTCCAGCCGAAGCCCTGCGTGCCGCCGCGCTGGCCCTGGGCAGGCCGTGCTGCCCGGCGGAAAGGGGGCGAGGAGGGGAGAAGCGGGCAGACGACGACGCAGGCCTGGGCGGGAGGCCCCAGGCTGGCGGGGCGGGCGGGCGGGCAGCAGAGGGGCTAGGCGGACGCAGCAGGCAGGGAGCAGGAGGAGAGGAACGGGAGGGAAGCAGCGCGGCAGGGCCGGGGCCGCCTCGGCCCCGGGGTCGTGGGGGTGCGGGGCGTCGGCGGGCTCTCCCCGCGGGCGTCGGCGTCGGCGGCGCCCCCCTCTGTGGGAGGGGGGGCGGGGGGCGGGGGTGTCCTCGCCTCGTTTTCCTCTGAGCCCCTCCTCCTCCTCCTCCTCCTCCTCCTCCTCCTCTTCCTGCTCCTCCTCTTTCCCTTCCTCCTCCTCCTCCTCCTTCTCCTTCTCCTCCTCCTCCTCCTCCTCCTCCTCCTCCTGCTCCAACCCCTCCTCCCCCGATGCGAGATCGGGCGCGGCGACGCTGCGAGCTGGGGATGATACAGGATCGCTGCCTCGGGGGAACGATCGATCTCCGGGGGCTCGGCAAGCAGCTGACATTGATACCTTCGGGCCCAGGCCGGGCCGCACGCATACACAGATATTTATACATCCACACACATGTTTGCGTGCATATTATTGACATAGTTATCCATATCCACCGCCTGCCGAGATCTCTGAAGGCTGATCCCCAAAGCGGTGGTGATAGCTGAATTCCCCGCCCCGAAGACAAGGGATGCGCAGCGGCATCGGTATATTTGTTGCCGCTGATCGCCGTCGCAAGACCAGTCAGATTCGACATGGGCAAGTGGATAGGATCGGATCGTGCGTCGGACCGGGCCGCAACGGCTCAAGCTCGGACTCGACTCGAACGGACTGCGCCAGGACGGCCAGCAACGCCACGCACGCATCGGGCGCATCGGATCGTCGGAGTGCCGGAGTCGAATCGGATCGGGCCGGCCGAAATCGATGTCGAATCGAATCCATCGCATCGACATGGACCCTGCGTCGTCGCCGTCGCAATCGCAAGCGGTGGCGGCAACGACGCCGCCGCGGCGCACTTGTGAAGGTTCAACCTGCGATCTACTTCCTACCCTCATGGCCCGGGTCACAACCTTCAAGGGCGGCCAAGAGGGGGGCGTCCAAGAGGCGGAGGCGCCAATCATGGCCGTCGGCACGTGCGCGGCCCAGAGTGGGGGCCAGGAACGCAATGAAATAAGAAAGGCGCCATGACATCTGAGGAAACATCATGGCCCACGCCATAATACCCACCCGCCCCTAGACATCACCCCCATCTCTGCCGCCCCCGAAGCCCTCGGGGCCCCATTCTTGAACCGCCGAACCGGGCCGGGGAGGCGCTCAAGAACGTTTGCTTGCTGCGTGGCGCCGTCGGCTCTGGGCCATCAGGCTTCTGCGCGACCCGCTCACCTCTGGTGGCCCCGAGAGGGGGTCCCGCGAAAAGAAGGTGGTGCAGAGATCACTACGCACTTCCCACCACCCACTACTCACTACTCACTACTCACTGCGCACTACTCACTCCTCACTCTTCACTACTCGCTACGATCTACTCAGTATTCACTACTCACTACTCACTACTCACTATCCCGAGGCCAGACCCCCCCCCATTGCGGGAGAGGCCCTCTCCCTGGCCCCCTGTTCGTCGCTCCCCCCCACCCCCCTTTCCAGCGCCAGTGGGGGGGGGGAGGAACGCGGTGGGGGTCCGGAGCCCTCCCCCCCCTCCTTCAAGGGGGGGGGGGAGGGGGGGGTTTTGACCCCCCCCCCCCCCTTAACGGGGCGAGGGGTGGGGGGGGGAATCCCACCCCCCTGCGAAGGGGGGGGAGGGGGCGTGGGGGTTCTGCGAACACCCCCCACCTTTTGTGTATTCAGGGTGATGCACTGGCGCGCTTTCGTAGATTGAGTGCGATCGATTTTGGGGCTGCATTACAACAGTGGGCGTGCGATGCAGTGCGGTGCGCAAGCGCATTGCTGGATTAAGACGCGTGCCCATCGTCAGCTGCAACACAATGCAATGTATATATACACAATTCGCTGGCGCCACGCATCTGCAATACCATTGCCCCGTAAGTACCTGTTGCACCACCCCCTTTCCGCTGGACCCCCCTTTTGTGTTGAGGCCCAGAACACGACCGACGTGCTGACCCCCCCCCTTCGCGACAATGGGTGGGTCGCGCGTTCGTCGCACGTGCGCCGCCCGTGCGTCGGCCGCCGAAGAGGCCCGCCGTCCTCGCGAACGTGCACGTCGCCCTCGCAAAGGGGCATTTTGGCGAGTGCGTCGCCAGCGTGGCCGCGCCCGCGTTCAAAGCTTCTGTCTGTGCCGCTTTCTCTCCCTCGAGGCGACGCCGACGCCGCCGACGCCGCGGCGCGCCGCCTCCCGCGGCCCCGCGCCGCTCGGCGCCTCCCCGACGTGCCGCCGCAGCTCGGCGCCGAAAGCCCGCTGCCTGGTCCGGCCCGCCCCGGCGGCGGAGGTGCCGGGCGGGCGGACGACGTTAACGTTGCTGCCATCGTGCTTAAGGACCACACCCCAGGAATAACCCTCCAAAGCGGAAAGGCTCAAACTTGCGACGAATACCTCCGATCTGCGACATGGCCCCACAGCGACCAGCCAAAATTATCAACCCCTCACCGACACAAGCAAATCACCGACCAGACCCGTGATCACCCACGATTGCCCCAGGACAAGCCCGCCATAATCTGCGACGAACCCCCGAAACCAAATCCACAGTCACTGCGACCTCCTCAAGAATATACCCCCAAATCGACGGAGGTGCGACAAGAAAGGCAGGCGGAATGAGCGGAACGATCAAATCATTTCCCGCACCCAGGAAGGTATTGAAGCAGTGTCGAACGAACATCGCCCCCCGGGGCCAGAGGCTCGAAAACCCTCGAGTTTCGGTGCTTTCTTGATCTCGAAAGTCTTTTCTGGTGATCAAGGCTAGAGCCCGATCCCTGTCCCCCATGGCGTGGGATACAATCGGGGCGTTGACCTAAGGAACCCTAAATAAGGAACGAGGCACCTTTTTCCCATTAGTTTAAACTCGATTTCCCATGGAAAACCTCAGGAAAACCCGAGGTAAACTTTGAAACAAACAAGGAGCACCGAGCCCCTGCCCAACGAAAAGGGTTCCTTCTTCAGGGCCCCGACTGTACTGGAGCCGCCCGGCGACCGGACAGGGCGCACCAGAAGAGCCTGGTGGAGGGAGGCTGGCCGTGGTGGCGAAAAGAGGCGCCGGCAGCACGAAGAGCATGGCGCTGTGGAGCCGCCCGAGAGGCGCCACAGTGGCGGCCACTTGGCATTGAAGCTCCAGTCGGCCAACCTGGCCATCGCTCGGACGTCCATTTCCTGTTTTTTTTAGGTTTCGTGCGTGGTTTTTCCGCCAAATGATCAAGGATGCTCCTCGGTGGTCCTCGCCGAAGGAAACATGCACACGTCCGAGCGATGCCAGGCAACTGGGCGGCTCACTCGCCTGGACCCCACTGGTCGATCTTCTCCCCTGGATGGGGATACAGAAGACTGTTCCCTTCGGGCCTTCGAGGGGCCCATACCCTCGACTGGGGTGGTGGGCAGGCGGGGCTGAGATGCCATGGCCCGGTGGCGAGGGGGATGTGTTTCACGGCACTCGTGGCGGGAACAAGATTTGCTGAAGTCTTCGGAGGGTCTCGGCGGTTCTCCAGCCTCGGGGCGCGTTCCAGCAGCTGCGCCTCGACGCGAGCGTTCAGGGGGTGCTCGAATCGTCCCGAACGGCCGCTGGAGACCCGAGCTATGGCACGAAAACCGAGTGACCCAGAGTAGGAGGAGGAGGAGGAGGAGGAGGAGGAGGAGGAGGAGGAGGAGGAGGAGGAGGAGGAAGAGGAGGACGAGGAGGAGGAGGAAGTCCCTCAGATCCGGGCGTTGCAATTCTTTCACACCGTGCCTTTTCGCCCCGTTTGGGCCTCTGGGAGCCTCAAAGATCGATCCGGCTCGAATGATTCCGCAGACAGATGAGATCCAGGGCTCCAATCGCTTCTTTCTCCCAACCATCCTGTGGTGTTGGGTCCTCGTTTTGAAGAAACGGTCCCCGCGTCTCCGCCTCCCGTGCCCCCCCCCCAGTGGGGGTACCACGTGCGTCCGCCACGTAAGGCCGCAGTGGGGGTACCACGTGCGTCCGCCACACCCAGTGCAGCGCTTCGTGGCCCCAAAGGGAGCTCCACGTACGGCCCCAGTGGGGGTACCACATGCGTCCGCCACACCCAGTACAGCGCTTCGTGGCCCCATTGGGCCCCACGTAAGGCCCCCCAGTGGGGGTGCCCACATGCGTCCGCTACACCCAGTACAGCATTTCGTGGCCCCATAAGGAGCTCCACCGATGCCCCAATGGGGGTGACCACATGCGTCCGCCACACCCAGTGCAGCGTTTCGTGGCCCCATACGGAGCTTCATCGGAGGTCCCATCAGGGATGGCCACATTCGTCCGCCACGCACAGGACAGAGTTTCGTGGCCAGTGGGACCGTCCGCATGCGTCCCTCACATTCAATTTGGCATTTTCACACACACACACACGCACACACACACACACACACACACACACACACACACACACACACACACACACACACACACACACACACACACACACACACACACACACACACACACACACACACACACACACACACACACACACACACACACACACACACACACACACACACACACACACACACACACACAATAAAACGCTTCGTGGCCCGATTGGGAGCTCCACCGAAGCCCCCCGGGGGACCGCCCGCATGCGTCCCGCACACGCAATTTGGTATTTTCACTGACACAATACAGCGCTTCGTGGCCCCATAAGGAGCTCCACCGAAACCCCCAGTGGGACCGCCCACATGCGCCTCACACACCCAATTTGGTAGTTTTACCCGCCCAGCACACCGCTTCGTGGCCCCATAGGAAGCTCCACCGAAGCCCCGAAGCCCGCAGTGGGACCATCCGCATGCGTCCCGCACACCCAATTTGGCATTTTCACACACCCAATACAACGCTTCGTGGCCCCATTGGGAGCTCTACCGAAGCCCCCAGTGAGACCGGCCGCATGCGTCCCCGAAGCCCAATTTGGCATTTTCAGCTGCCCCGTACAGCGTTTCGTGGCCTCACAGGGAGCTCCACCGAAGCCCCCAGTGGGACCGTCCGCATGCGTCCCGGAAGCCCAATTTGGTATTTTCACCCACCCTCGTGGCCCCATATGGAGCTCCACCGAAGCCCCCAGCGGGACCGTCCGCATGCGTCCCACACACCCAATTTGGCATTTCCACCACCCAGTACAGCATTTCGCGTCCCCATTGGGAGCTCCACCGACGGCCCAGTGCTACCGCCCGCATGCGTTCCCCCCCACCCAGTGCAGCGCTTCGTGGCCCCATAGGGAGCTCCACCGAAGAAGATATTCACAATTGCGGTACCCACAATCACTGCATATGGTTGGATGGTTGGGTCCTTCGCCAGGATAAGACGTTGCAACTTGTTGTTTGCAACGTCGTCTCAGGCCGCCTGGCGGGCAGTCGCACGGACGACGATGACGCGACTTTGGGGCACCCAAACCCTGTGGCGACGGACCGCGTGGTGGCCTCGGCATCCCCCGACGACCTCACCTCGTGTTCCGTCGCCGCACGGTTTCTGGGACCTCGGAGGCTCCAGTCGCCCGAGACGTCCTCGCAGCACGACCCGAGTCCCAAAGCCATGCGGGTGACCGAGAACCCCCACGGGCTGACCACGCGGAGCGGTCACCACAACGTTGTGGGTGCCACTGGGCGACGGCGACGGCGGCCCTCTGCGCTCGGGGAGGCCCGAGGCAATCGACCGACAAAACCGCTGCGCCCCTCACTCCGCCCTTCGCCATCTGTGCTCGCTTCTTCCCACCTCCCGCCCCCCCCCCCCTCGTCCACCATGCGCCTTCCTTGCCCTCCCCTCTGCTGCTCCCAATTCCCCCTCCGCCCTCCTGCCTCCTCCGTCCTCTATTCCTTCTCCTCCCGCCCCCCCCCCCTGTCGCCTCCCCTCCCTGCCTCTCTTCCCCCCTTTTCCCTCATCTCCCCTCTCCCTCCGCCCTCTCTACTTGTCCTCCTCCATTTCTACTTCGCTTGTCCCTCATTCCTGCTTGAATGTCGTTCGCGCCCTCTCCCCTCCTTCGTTTCTGTCTCGCGCGCGCGCGTGCGCACTAAAAACTGGCCAGCATCGTGAAGAGGGCGACTTGTCGGCGGTTGGACATGGATTTGAGGGGGGCCATCCACGCGAGCAGGAGCAGGGAACATGGTGATTGGTGGGTCGGACATTAAGCGTCATGGGGAACACAGTCGAACAAAGCACGGGTGGCTTCCAAGTGACAACGATGTGGACATGCTGGGCTGCATGCGTGCACATGCACATCGTCAAATCGCAAACGGAACCAGCAAACTGATGCTTGGGGCGTCAGGGAAAAAGCGTTACACGTTGCACGGTGTCGTTGAACAACAGCTCATTCGGCTCGCTGTGTAGTCGGCTTCCCCGAGTGACTTTACCGTTCTCAAAACGGAACGGACTGGTAAGCTTCAAGGACTTGGATTGCTCTTGGCGACCTGCATCGTCAAAGCCCATTGTGGATGGTGCAGGGGAAGCTGGTGGCAACGAGACGTAAACAGTAATACCAGCAGCCGCGAAACAGCATGTGACGCCACATGCAGCACGTGAAAAAAACGGATCGTGAAAACCACGACCTGTAACCTGAACCGTGCGCATCAAGAACGCGTTTGGACGGAGTGTTAGCGGATTGCATGCAGTCAAGCCTCGCGGTCATGAAGACGCAACCAGTACGCTCTTGCGCTGCGCAAGAAAGCTTCAGGTCAGAACGAGACATCTGGAGCATTTGCTGATGGGGAGTAGCGGGCAGGGGGGGATCGATACGTAACGACCCAGAGGGACCGCTGTCCTACGGCGTAGTTGTGAAGTTGACCAACGGAATGTTTACGACGCCCGCTGTAGCATGTACATAGAGATGGAGGGCGGGAGTAGTGCGAGCTGGCGCGGATGATCCACGCAGTACGAAGTACATCTCGCGCAATATACACCAGATAGAAGGTCCTGAATTGGAACACCGCATGTCGTGAGCAGAAGCTGGTGAGCAGGGTGTGGAGCATACGGAGCGGCGTGCAATATGTTGTCTGAACTCGCCTACAACCCACTCAGCGGTGATTCGTTCAGGCTATATGACCACCCGTACATTGAAAACCAGGTCTTGGAAACAAAGTGTCGCAGGTAATGAGTCGCGCCGGTGCAAGTAATACTGCTTACAAGGTTCGCGTCGTTGACGGTTAGGCCGATGCTAGAAGAGATATTCATTTGGGCTCCGACTTCGATGACGACGATGGCGATTGCGATGGAGGGCCGTCCCATCGGCAATGCTGTCATGAACGGTGGTCGGCACGTTAAGTGGACGCGGGCATGATGGGTGTGGAACTGTACAACCAAGTGTGCGCCAGTGGGCTCGAAGGCTCCTCGCTCCCCCTCCGTGCCTCATCCCTCCCTCCTTCCTTCCCTCCTTTTACTTCCCTACCTCCTCCTCCTCCTGCTCCTGCTCCTCCTCCTCCTCCTCCTCCTCCTCCTTCTCCTCCTCCTCCTCCTCCCTCTCCTCCTCCTCCTCCTCCTCCTCCTCCTCCTCCTCCTCCTCCTCGTCCTCCTCCTCCTGCTCCTCCTCCTCCTCCTTCTCCTCCTCCTCCTCCTCCTCCTCCTCCTCCTCCTCTCTCACACCTGCCCCCCTGCGCCCTCATCCCTCTCCACCCGGCCACCACCATCCCCATTATGCTCCTCGTCGCCCCCCCTGTCTTCATTATCTTACTCCCTCCCTCTTCCCCTTCCCTTCTTCCTCCCTCCTCCCCTCCTTTCTTCTCCTCATGATCGTCCTCCCCGTCAGCTTCCGCCTTCACCTTCGATTCAGCCCTCGCCTATATGACACTGGTACCTGCTGCGCTAGACATCAAATATTCTTGTGCAACCTGAGAGGCACAAAGTCAAGCTCGTGTTGACTTAAATGCGTACGTATGCGATGTCCTTTTGTGTTCAGGCTGGTCGGCCGCACAGACGGCGTCGAAATGGCTGTCCACCACACTCCAGCGGCCTGGCTATGCGTCACAGGATGCGCTATCCTAGATATGCCCGGTCGCTATCATTCGTGGTGGACAGCCAGCCGTCACCGCACTGCTGCAATGTCACGTCGGCTGTGAAAGCTGCGCTGCGTCTGGTGCAGGATAACATGAAGCTTCTATACGTCTTCTCACTGGAGTGATGGATATGCGAGGTGCGCCCAAGACGATCGGCCTGCCCCCCCGCAGGACATACCTAAGCCGTCGCATTGACCCAGGACGCCAGCTTCCCCGCGTCTACGCCTTGCATCCGATCTGATTCTTTGCCGCCTTTGATGTACAGAGGAAGAAACAACAGCATAAACAGAAACGTTCGGCTATCCGCTTGGATTTCCTGGATCGGCGCTAGAACTCCCTCCCTGGCGCACGGAGCGCGTCAGGGGCGGCGCCAGCGGCGCCGCCAGGGGGGCCCAGCGCCGATCCCCAAAAATCCGCGCGGAGCTCCAAATGTTTGTGTAGTATGTTGCCTTTTCTTTTTCGGATGTAGACAAGGGTCGGCATGGCACTAACGCCATGCTTCTGGCATACGCTCTGAGTCGCCTCAGTGTCGACGTCCACCGCGCAGAGCAGTGCCTTCGAGGCCTTCGCCATCTCATCATACTTGGGTCCGAAGGACCTACACGGGGGTCACCAGGTGGCAGTAAAGAGGATGACCACATGAGCATTGTCCTGTATGGCTTTTGCGTAAGCCTCCATGCTGGACAGTACAACCTTACCAGACACGCTGGCCGACGAGCGTGCCAACAGCCCCTTCTCATAAGCTTCCTTGTTCGCTTTCATTTTCCTCGCATGCTCAGCCTCCTCTTCTTTCACGCGCTCCCGAGTGGCAGCGGCATGGATTTCTTTGACCTTGGCAGCGACGTCGCGCGAATCCTCGTCCGTCTGCTCGTCGTAATCAATCTTGAGGGCTGTCTGGAAGTCGGCGTGAGCGTCTTCCCAATGACCGAGTCGTGTGCGGGCTCGGGCACGGATCTTGTAGGCCTTCGCTGAATCTGGATTGATGGACAGCGCGGCGGTGCAGTCATTCTCGGTCGCACGCGGACGGCCGAGCTGAAGGAGCACCTGCGCGCGCCGGCTGTACAGGAGAGCGCTCGGGGCGCCGACTGCGATCGCCGCCGTAAACTTCTCCTCTGCCAGCTCCAGCTTGCCGTCATCGAAGGCGTCTAGACCTTCCTGGTTCAGCCTGTTCTGGCTGTCCTGCTGCTCCTCCGTGAGCTCCTCGACGCCCGCGGGGGCCATCGCGGGGAAGGGCGGCTCGTCATCGAGGTCCGTGCCCGTGTCTGCCATGGCCCCGAGGCGGGCACACCACCCCCAGGCGCACCACCTCGCAGGCAAGAGCCAGAACGGCCACACGCAGGCGTGCCTGCAGCGGCGGACTCCTTGGGAACCCGGGGTCCACAACTGCTGACGTCTCTCGGGGGGGGCACCCTGTGGTCGGAAGCAGTGGGCAGAAGCACGAAGCAGGAAGGCGTCGATGGCAGACTGGGCTCCCGCCAGCCCCCTGCAGAGGACGGAAAAGGGGAAGCCGCTCGAACACTGAAGCAGGAAGGCGCCTCGAGCAGAAGGGAATCTGGGACTCCCAGAATACCTACTCTCAACGACCGATGGATACTTCCGCCGGCCTTCCAACCCTGCTTGCGCCGACGGAGCCGCCCCCACTCCACCTCCGCTGGCGTCCGCCCGCCTTTCCGCCGAGAGTGAGGCGCGACGACCCGTCTGACGCGCCCCCTCTGTCGGGGCGGACGATAGGGGCGGATAGGCAAGGGGCGGGCCCCACACGTATTCGCCGGGGGGCCTCGTCGAAGATATGGGCCATCGGAGGCTCTGGATACACGCAGTGCTTTCCCCTGAGCTATATTCGCCCAGACGCGTCGACTCCGAATCTAGCAGAGATCGCTGTCTGCAGAGCCAGCCTCGATCTGCTGGAGACCCGGCTTGCCCCTGCAGGCCGAAGGAGCGGCCGCATCGAAGGAGTGCCAGGTCGCGGGGCAGAAGATGTGGGTTCTGGCTTGATTGGCGTACGAGTCGTGGCCCTCTCGGCACCTCTTAGAGCCTGGGCCGTGTACACCGAATGCCTGTCGTGATTCAAGCGAGCCTGGGTGAAAGTTGCTGCCAGCCGCTACGAGGGCTGCCTATCCTCCCTGCACTGACCAGAGAGACGGTGCCGTTCCCAGGAAAGCACAATCCGGCCGGTGCTATCCTTAAGAGACTCCGTATGGTCACAAGCGGTATCGTCAGGATTCAGACCTGACATCAGGACCAGGCTGGTGCAAGTCAGTTTTGCCCAAAGGCAACGCAGCAAGGTTGAAACCTCGGCGCCAACATAATACTTGCTCCTGCCCATACTCTCGGTGATCCGCTTCTGATTCTGGAGTAAGCTGTCCATCTCAACAAACGTTGCATATGTCGCGCATCCATTCAAAGAACAGAAAACCCGATGGCCCGCTTAAGATATGAACTGCACGCAACATTAGTATCGCCAATGCCTCCCTGCCCAGTGGGATCGCTGACTCTCTTCGCCCCTTGATCATTGACGGAGGGTGGTGAAGAGGATGGCTGGATGGTCATCATCATATTCTTCCTCCCCCTCTAAGCTGGAGGTCCGAAACATGCCAAAACTCCAGCCCTCCAAAACGGCCAATAGACCTCTCACGATGGGTTGATTACCGCCACCACGCTGCATCGGCGGCCAGATGCGTCCAGCGCCCCTTGTATGTTGCGTTTGGCTTTGGTGTTGATCCTTCTCTTGCGCAAGAGAAGCAGTCGGCCCCTTATCTCACGCATCGAACCCGACACTTCGAGCTGGCGGCGTGCCCACACGCGAACACGCTTCATGCCAGCATGCTACACGGGGCCGGAGAGAGGAGGGAAAGGGCGGCGAAGAGCCCCAGCTGGGGTCTCGGGCGCCGGCGTGGCTGCAGACAGGACATCCTCACGCGCCTCGTCCCGTGGGACAGGCTACTAGACGTGATCAGTGGCGTATGCTGCGAGATCGAAGCGGGACCGAACCCAACATGCATCCGCTCGTTGCTCTGAACCCCTGCGCTGGTGCGCCCGTCGCACGGGACAGCGCCCAGCACAAAGGCTCGTGCCAGGGGGCGCCCTGCCCTCCCTGCCTGGGGGGAGCCCACAGAGGACGTGCGCGCCAAGCCACGCCCATGAATAAGGGGGGCCCTGACACACACACACACACACACACACACACACACACACACACACACACACACACACACACACACTCACACACAGATATACACACACCCCAGAATTCCCAATTGTTTCACATACTTTCTGGGTTTCTGCCTTTCCCCCCCCTTCCCAGATTTTCGGAGATTCTCCGGGGAGTCGACGATTCATTGTGTCTGTGCTTTTTTCCTACTGAATGAGCACGGCCCCCCACTCCGCGAGACCACCCGCGTGATACGAACGTTCGCGCAGTGCGTACTCTCGAAATCAGCGTGGATTCATGTTCGTGGGCGTCCTCTTTGTCGCTCCCGATCCCCGCCGCCGCCCCCGCAGCGAGGTGGCGGACTCGGGCGGCAGCGCAGACGGCTCTCGTTTCGACGCCCACGAGTCGCCCACGAGTTGCGGCGACGGCGACGCCGAGGCAAAAACAGCTCACACCGATGGAAAACGGCGATCGCCATCCCGGGCAGCCGCGTCGGACCCCACAAACGCGAAGACTCGCGCGCGGACGCCACGGCGCGCACAGCCGCAGAGCGCTCTGCCCCCCCGCCGGTCCATTCGTGGCCGTCCGGGATGTCGTACGCGTTCACGCCAGTGGCGCACCTGTGGGACGGGAGTGGCGGCAGAGAGCAGGAGAGAGGCGGGGCGGAGCTGAGGGGAGGCGTGCAAGATTAGGGGGGTTGAGGTCCTCCACAGAATCACATCCTCGATCGCCCTCCTCCTACCGCACCCTCTCTCTGCCTCCTCCCCATCCGCCTCTGCCGTGATCTGGCCCTCGCCCTCCTCCTCCAACCGCCTCCTCCTCTCTCTGCCTGCTCTTCTCCTCTTCCTCCTCCTCCTCCTCCTCCTCCTCCTTCTCCTCCTCCTCCTCCTCTGTTTCCTCCTCCTCTGTTTCTTCCTCCTCCTCCTCCTCCTCCTCCTCCTCCTCCTGCTCCTCCCCCTCCGGCGGTGCACCGGCGGCGCCGGGAGGGAGAAGACCGAGCCTCGGGGGGCGGCTGTGCGGCGGCGCGCGCCTCCCACCACTTTTCCTCTGCAGGTCCTCGAGCCTCGACCCTCGGCCCCGAGTGCAGGGGCCCACGGGCACGCAAAGAGCCGGGCACACGTCCCAGGATCCCAGGTATGTGCCAGCATCTCTTCTGTGTGTTCGTCTTCCCCCCCCCCTTCCCAGACTTTCCTACAGTTTCCTGGGAGCCCGCGATTCACTGCGTCTATTTCCCCCCCCCCCCTCTCCTCACCAGAGTTCCCCCCAGGGCGGGCAGCAAGGATGATGGGCAACGATAGGGGGGGACTGGCATCGGGGGGTATGCATCGACCTGGCATCGGCGAGACGCCGCCGATAGAGATCGGCGATGGGCCTCTGATGGTGAGTCCGCACCCTCCTGGGCAGGCTGGGGCTATCGGGCCCCCATGGGCGATTGGGGGTCGATGCATCCCAGAGCAAAAACAAGGTTCTTAGAACATCAACCCGATGTGATAAAACAAACTAGCCCCAGCCAGAAACGTTCTGAGAACACTTCGCGCAGACCACACGAGGTGCTCAGAACATTGTTCGGTAGGCCTACAGTCACGCCAGGACGCTTCGCCACTGCTTGACTGAAAGGAGCCGATGGGAAGGCGAAAACCCACCCCCACCCCCGGTCCCGACCCCATCCTGGAACCCGCGACCCAGGGGGTCGGGACTGGGGGTGGGGGTGGCTTTTCGGGGCCCAAGATTGGAGAAAACCCACCCCCACCCCCAGCCCCGACCACTTGAATCGCTGGCTCGGGGATGGGAGTCGGGATTGGGGGTAGGGGCGACTCTTCGCCTTCTGAGCCGAGGCGAGGGGCGGCGCGCCAGAAGCGGCGCGTACCCTCCTCCCAGCGCGCGCCGCCCGCGCCCGCGGCCGCCCGCTCGCCGCCGGCCACGGCAGCCTGCTCGCCGCACGCCCGCGCGCCCGCGGCGCCCTCGCCGTAGCCGGGCCCTGGCCGCGGGCGGCGGCGGCGGCGGAGGCGGCGGCGGCGGCCTCCTCCTCCTCCTCCTCCTCCTCCCTCCCTCCTCCTCCTCCTCCTCCTCCCTCCTCCTCCTCCTCTCCTCCTCCTCCTCCTCCTCCTCCTCCTCCTTCCTCCTCCTCCTCGCTCCTCCTCCTCCTCCTCCACCTCCTGCTCCTCCCCCTCCTCCTCCTCCTTCTCCTCCTCCTTTCCTCCTCCTCCTCCTCCTCCTCCTCCTTCTCCTCCTCCTCCTCGTCCTCCTCCTCCTCCTCCTCCTCCTGCTCCTCCTCCTCCTCCTCCTCCTCCTCTCTCTCCCCTCCTCCTCCTCCTCCTCCTCCGCCCCCTCCTCCTCCTCCTCCTCCTCCTCCTCCTCCTCCTCCTCCTCCTCTCAACATAATCCGCCCCCAGAATAAACACCCCGACACGCGAAGTCGTCTAGTAAGCGCGCCCAAGGAAGGACTCAAACAGGGCAGGGCTGTTCAGTAAACGCCCAGGGCCGTTCAGTAAACGCCAGTTGCCCAATCCGGGTGGTTTTTCCTCCCTTAATGACGCGGGGCCAGGACGAGGCTGCCTTCGGGTGAGGATCCACCACGAGGACGAGGACGACGCCAGGACGAGGACGAGGACGCATCTCTGAGCATAGCTGCCTGGATACGCAGCACGTAGCACGTAGCGTGTTGGCACGACGCGCAGCACGCAGACTGGACACGCACATTTGGCGCACTGCGCTCGCCGAGGCGTGAACCAGCACGTGCCGAGCCGATACGCAGGGTGCCGGCACGTGCCCTCTGAACACGGCACGTGTCGCGTTTCAACACGGGCGTGTGTCAGAGCAGCTGCGTCTCTGGGATCCGCCGCCGTCGTCGTCGTCGTCGGAGGCGGCGTCGTCGTCGGCGGCGGCTCTGGAGGATGTCGCGGGCGCCGCGGCCTCCTCGGCGCGCCCCGGAGAGCGCTCCGAGGTAGCGCGCGGCGGCCCCTGCAGACCTCCGACGCCCAGCGCGAGGTGCGGCGCAGAGCATAGCGACGCGACGACTCCTCGGCCCGACGGGGCGCCGCCAGAGGCCGCGGCACGCGCGCGGCGGCTCGCCCGGGGCCCGGGCCGCCCAGCGCGCCGACGGCGCGCGCCGACGGCAGTGGGCGTCCTCCTCCTCCTCCTCCTCCTCCTCCTCCTCCTCCTCCTCCTCCTCCTCCTCTCCTCCTCCTCCTCCTCCTCCCTCCTCCTCCTCCTCCTCCTCCCTCCTCCTCCTCCTCCTCCTCCTCCTCCTCCTCCTCCTCCTCCTCCTCCTCCTCCTCCTCCTCCTCCTCCTCCCCCTCCCCCTCCCCCTCCTCCTCCTGCTCCTCCTCCTCCTCGTCCTCCTCCTCCTCCTGCTCCTCCTCCTCCTCCTCCTCCCTCCTCCTCCTCCTCCTCCTCCTCCTCCTCCTCCTCCTCCTCCCCCTCGCGCCCTGCGCCTGGAGACGGTCCGCCACGAGGGCCCAGCGCCCTCATTCGCCGCGGCTCACAGCAGGAGCTCGACCACCAGGGACCCTCCGCAAGAAACCCAGCCCCGAGACCCCAGGACGTCCGTTGAATCTAGGTGTGGGGACGTCGCGCGTTCCACATCACAGAAGCGTCGAAGCCCGAGAAAAAAAGCCAGGGCAGCCTGGAGGCAAGCGGGGCGTTTCTGGGCACGGGCTTCCACCTGTACGCGGGTTCCCGCCAGCGCGGCACGCTGCATTCGGAGACGAGGGCGCTCACGCGCAGCCCTGCGCGGGCGCGATAGGTGGCCTTCTGCTTTCGATCCCCAGGCCTTCGTGGGGAGGGCCTGGGGGACGGGGGGGGGAGGCGGGGACAAGGGAGGGGGCGAGCCATGAGCAGGGGGCGAGACACGTGCACAATTTCAACAATTTCGTGCTCTTTTTTGTTGGGCCCCAGGGGTCCCCTGCAGGGCACACGCGGCGCACCTTTCTTCCCCTCCCCCCAATTCACTGCCATCCATGTAGAAGCCTCCTAGATGGGGTCCAGGTAAATGGGGTCGAAGGATCGCGCCGCATAGCAAATGCATCGCCGAAGTATCGGCGATGCATCGGCGATGCATCGGCGACGTCGACGATGCAGCGGCGGCGCCAGCGTGGAGAAAATCGCGCTGCACATCGAGCCGCATCGCCGATGCATCGGCGATGCGGCGCGACCCTCCGACCCCATCTGCTCGGACCCCACCTGGGCAGGCTAGATGCCCTGCCCCCCGCTGCGCAACGCGCGAAGATCTCGGCGAACCCCGAGCTCCGAGCGCTGCAACTTTCCACGCCGGGCGCCTGCGCCTGGAGTTCCGGCCCCAGGCCCCAGAGGGGCCGCACGCATCGACTGGGCGAGACGGGGGGCGCAGAAAGATGGGCTCGCGGGGCACCGGCACGGATTCCTCGCGGCTGTGCCTTTTTATTTCCAGCGCGTCGGAGCTCCGGGTCCCCAGGGCCCTGTCGAGCACCGGGGGCCACGGAGAGGGATCCGGGGCGGAAAACTGATCCTGGAGAAACAAGCGTAAACTTTTGGAGATCCGCGCCGAGCTCCGAGGAATTCTGTCTGTGCCGACTTCTGTGCTTCGAGAAACCCTGGCCCTGCGGGGGGGGGGCCCTTCTCCAGGGGGGCGACCCAGGGGCCTCTTGGGGACCTTGCTCTTGCGGCTCTCTTTGGGGCCTCTTGCGAAATCTTGGGGAGATCTTGGGGGGTCGAAGCCAGCTTCGATCTCCCCTACGCCTAAGATCGGCAAGCCCAAAGGCGACGACAACCTTAGGGATACGCTCTCAGAAACTGAGGGCATCCTTCACATCGGCGTCGAGATGCGGTGATGACAATCGTAGGGATATGGCCGCGTCAAACCTTGTAGCGTTGCCGAGTTGCGGGCGGTCACACACGCGTGTTGGCAGGCATGCTGCACGACCCCTCTCGGGAGCCCCCGCGGGGGCCTTCGGGAGCCCGGCGGGGCTGGTGTGCACCCGTGCTGGCCCCGTGACCCCACGGGGCTGCGCGACCCCGTGCTGGCCATGGCCGCCACTCCAACACAGAGCCCCCGTGGCGCGAGCGCCTCCGCGCCAGACCGGGGGGCGGGCCCGCCGTCCTATCGCCCGCGGGGTGCGGCCTGCGGGAGGGCCTCGGGCAAGCCAAGCCTCGGGGGGGGGGGGGCTTCGGAGGGGCCTCGGGCGAACTCCAGGGGCCTTCGTCGGTTCCCCGCTGGCCTCGGTGCGCTTCCCCTCGGACCCAGCATTTTTGTTCGCCACGGGCGCCTCTGCCTCGTTTCGGGCCCTCGGGGCCCCCACGGATGGATCTGGCTCGAATCATGGCGCACAAAGCTGGGGTCCAGAGCTCTGGTGGCCATAGGAGGAGGAGGAGGAGGAGGAGGAGGAGGAGGAGGAGGAGGAGGAGGAGGAGGAGAGGAGGAGGAGGAGGAGAGGAGAGAGGAGGAGGAGGAGGAGGAGGAGGAGGAGGAGAAGGAGAGAGGAGAGCAGGAGGAGGAGGAGAGCAGGAGGAGGAGCAGGAGCAGGAGGAGCAGGAGGAGCAGAAGGAGCAGGTTGATTGCGATGTTGTAACGTTCTGGCCACGCGCGATCTTGGGTTGTCCAGCGGCTCTGCGCCTCCTCGAGGGCGTTCCGGGGGTGCCCGCATCGTCCCGAGCGGCCGAACCCGGGACCCGAGCTGTGACCCGAGAGCACACCTCGGAGGGAGCTTCGGCAATGCTTCGGGGGGCTTCGGAGGGGCCTCGGGGCAAAATCAGAGGAAGAAAGCAACGCATGACACGGCAACTTTTGGGGGGTTCTGGATCGGCGCTGGGCACCCCCTGCCAGGTGCGCGGAGCGCGCCAGGGGCGGCGCCACAGAGGCGACGCCCGGGAGGCCCAGCGCCGATCCAAGACATCCGCGCGGAGCTTCGAAAGTTTATGGTTATGCACCGTTTTGTTCTTCGAGAACTTGGCGGCCTTTGCAGGGGGCCGCGGGGGGCTCTGGGGGAGCTTCGAAGAGCGCATTATAGTTTTCGCGGCCATCACGGGCGCTATGGGGGGGGGACGGGAGGGTGCGTGCCGTAGCGCCGCACCCCCCCCTCCCAGAACGTTGTGCCAGAGGGGGAGGAGGCGGAAAGGGAAGGGCGCATGAGCATTCTGCCGATCCACTTGTCACTCTTTCAACCGCCGGCTTTGCTCAATCGTTCTTGAGGGCTCGAAGCGGGACTCCAGGGGCCAAACACAGGGGTCGGCACTGTTTTATCGTGACGTCAGGGGTCGGGCCTATCGCGAAACATCTGGCGTAGCGGCGTCGCACACATGTAGTAAGGATATGGCATACACCTCTGTGCGATGCGACCGCTGCTGCTGCTGCCATGGGATGCGCCGCCAGAAATCCCTGTGGCCATGTGCTACGTGTCTGGTCGTGTGTGCTCCTTCTACCCACATGCTGTGTGTGTGTGTGTCGGTGTGTCTGTGTGTGTGTGTCTGTGTGTGTGTGTTGGCCTACCCTTCCAGCCGATGCACCTCCTCCCCCGCCTCTTCCGCTCGATCTTTCCCCTCCTCCTTCTCCTTCTCTCCTCCTCCTCCTCCTCCTCCTCCTCCTCCTTTTCTCCTCGTCCTCATCCTCCTCCTCCTCCTCCTCCTCCGCTTCCTCCTCCCCCTCCTCAGAATCATCGCCATCCCCTCTTACTGATCCCCTCCTCCTCCATACCATCCTCCATCCTCCATTCGTCATCATCATCACCATCCTCCTTCCAATACTCCGCCCTCTGTTTCCTCCTCCTCCTCCTTTCCCTCCTCCTCCTCCTCCTCCTCCTCCTCCTCCTCCTCGCTCGAACGAACGAGCACGACGACGACCACGGCGACGGCCACGGCGACGTCGACCGCGACCGCGACGCCGCCCACAACCGACGTCGACCACCACGCCGACCACGCCGACGCCGCCGACGCCGCCCAGGACGCCGGCGGTGACGCCGCCCGGCGCCTGGGAGCAGCGCCTCCGCGCCGTAGGTCAGGCTGCGGGCGAGCGGCGGCGGCCACCCGAGGAGCATGGCGCCGCGCGCGCGGGCGCCCGCCCGAGGAGGGGGACGGCGGACGGCGGGCGGGGGGGGGGGCGGGGCGCGGGCGCGGGCGGCGCCCCAGGGCAGCCGGCCCGCAGCGTAAGGATGCGCGGCAAGGACGCATGGGGCCCTGGGAGGCCCACGCCGAGGCTCATGCGGGCGGGGCGCGGCCCGCGAGGGCGGCCGAGGGAGGGGGCCGAGGGGGCGAGGATGCGAGGGGTGCCCTCGGGAAGGTCGCCCCGCCCGGCTGTGCGGGTTGGCTGCAAGGGGGCGGCGCGAGGAGGTGGGCCTCCGAGGGGGCGGGGCGGGGGGCCTCCGCGGCGGGCCCGGCGGGGCCTCCGAGAGGCCCGCCAAGGCAGCGGAGGCGCCCCCCGGCAGGTGGAAGAGGAGAAGCCCCGCCAAGAAGGGGCCGTCGGCGAGGCCCACCGTGGCCTTCGGCGAGAGGCCGCCCGCCGCCCGTCTTGGAAACCGCCCCCCTCCCCCCG